AGAGAGAGAGAGAGAGAGAGAGAGAGAGAAAGGAGGAGGAGGAGGTAACTATAACATACCCTAGATGTCCAAAAAATGAGAAGAACCTAAGACAGACTCCAACTTCTGGATCGCCAAATAGCACTGGGGAAGTAAGTAGGTCAATCAATGGGGAGAAAGAAAGGTAGAAAAAAACCCATAAATATGAAATGTCCCAGAGTTGAAAAAATGAGTGGAAACAAGACCCTGAAACTCAAGTAACTTTGAAATAAACTCTAGCAACACCTGGATCACCAAAGAGCACACGAGAAGCATGCAGGCCGATCTATGGAGAGAGAAAAAGAGAGCCAAAGGTAATAATTATGATATGTACAAAGATGTTCAAAGGAGAAGACAAATGCCACTAAGAAGCCATAAACTCCCGCACCTCAGAGATCTGCTAAATGTCATTACTGAAGCATTCAGCCCAATCGATCTAAATGTGTTTCTCCATGAGAACAGATTCAGCAGGGGTTCAGACAAACCAATAAGTTCGAAATGTCCAATGCATTTCAAAAATAATAAGAAACAAGATACGACCTAAAGAACTCCAGTCTCTCCAAGTTGACATAGTCCACTATCACGAGAACATAGTGAATTCTTATAAGCTATTACCTTGCAGACATATTCTCGCCTTTTTTCCTTAACAGGTGAGTGACGCCTTCAGAACAATAGAGCACAAATTAGTTAGGACCACTGCACGCTGCAACAGAAAAGAAGCAGCAATCTACTAAGAGAACTACACGACTCTAAAATGCAATCAAAGTTCCACCTATGCAAAGCCTCTCGACGTGGGGTACTCCTTCGTAAAGGCCTCTCATCCCTAGTGATTCTTGGAGGAGTTCGATCCCGCCTAGGTTCGCGAATACGCGAGCGCTCCCGCTCCCGCTCCCTTTCCTTGTTCCGACGCTCCAAAAGCCGTACCCTTTCTCTTTCTCTTTCTCTTTCTCTCTCTCTTTCCCTTTCCCTCTCTCTTTCTCTTTCTCTTTCTCTTTCTCGTTCCCGTTCCTTCTCCCTCTCACGCACATGCTCCCTACGCCGTTCTTCTTCCCTAAGCTCAAGTTCACGACGATAAGCACCACGATCATCCTTCCAGTCTTCCATGCGAGGCTCCCCAATGCTTGAATGCACAGGATGAGAAAGCATAGCACTAGAGTAGCCACTCTCCATAGATGGCGCAACACCAAGTCCCTTACCCGCACTGTAATCACGACCAGGAGGCAAGCCCACGCCATAACCTGCACTAGAAGGCCCTTGTGTGTAAACGTCAAGGTCTCTTCGGGTAGCAGGCCCCAACATTGATGATGGTTGTTGTCCAGAGTAGGACCCACCGAGACTAGATAAATTGCGAGCATCGGCGTCGATCCTTGAACCATATGAACTCCTCGCTGCAAGATAATCAGTTGGTCTGCCAAGAATGGATATGTGCTCAGTGTAGTAACTAATAAGATACACAAATTTTCCCAACAGGGCTGAGAATGTTGAGATCATCCTCTTTTATAGGCTATAAGAAATGGAGACGTATCTAACAAAGACAGAACACTCATGGTGAGATCATCTTCATTTAAAACCAAACACAGGATTCAAATGTCAATATTTTTTTGGGTCAAGGTAATACGTATTGGAAGCAAGGTAATACGTATGCAGCAGGGGAGTTCGGGCCACACTCTCACTCTCTCTCTCTCTCTCTAGACAACCACTCTCACACTCTAGATCACTCCACTCCATAGGGGGGGGGTTGAAATTGAGGCCCATCCTTCTTATGTGCCACCATCCAGGCCATAAGCCTTGTGCATTAAGATATAAAAATATTGGTGACCCTGAGCTCTCTCACACAGGACTAGGGAACATGCTCTCCACCAACAAAAACATGATAACCAGTACTCATAATTTGTTTTTGAACTTTTGACCTACCATTATTTTGCAGTTGCTATTCCGACCAAACATTCATGGGGATTGAGTGGGTGATATTTACCTGCCACCCCCATCTAGGGCAGGAGATGCTAGACTCTGTCTGGTATCAGAACCAGAGTGCATGTGCTGAGCTGGTAGCAAGTGTTGTTGATGAAGTAACGGCACCTATATACAAGACCAAGGAATCTGTTTAGACAAATATGCAATTCCACATGAAATCAAATCATAAAAGCACAATTCAAGGCACAATCCAATACCTGATCATGCAGCTCTGACTGTGGCAGCAATCCAACATACATGAAATAAATAGCACGACCATTTAGCATACAAACTAAAAATTAAGCTATGCAAAATAAGAAAAAAACAAACAAGAAGGCACGTACACCAAGATTGAATGGAGCAGGACTCCAAAGGGGCCCATTCCTGATTAACAAACAGAGATTAATTTTATGAGTTGCAAATAATGGAGTAGGAACCTGGTGTTGACGACTGAGGCCAACAGTTTCGGAATAACGACGGCTTGATTCACTTGGCAAGCTCCTCCCCATGTAAGCACCATGAGCATCACCATACTGTGCCCTGTCCATGGAAGCATAATCGGAGATCTTTCCTCCTGAATATTGTTCACTTTTTTGGCTGTATCCAAAGTCACCTGAACCATACCCTGAACCAGATCCACCACCGCGATTACCTGAACTTATTCCCTTGCCACTCATCGAGGAATACTGTTAAACCGAAACATAATATTGGATCAGGTCAAAGTAAAAGCCTAGAGAGCACTTAACCGCTTAAGTTTCACCCAACCCCATGTGTACGTAATCAATTCACAAAGTTAAACAAATGCATATGCATATATAAATACAGTATCATAAATACAATTTCACTGTATTTTAGCCAAACAAAAGTATACCTGTTGCCCACTGCCGCGAATAGATGTTCCATACAAATCCTCATACTGACCAGCATAACGACCAGAAGCTGCAGAAGACCCACCAAACTCACCTGCACCTAATGTCCCAGATGGATGGCTTCTATACACACCAGTCTCAGCTTCTTGAGAGCCACCCAACAAAGATGAACGACCAGTTCCAGAATAGCCAAGCGATGAAGACTACAGAAGATGGGTCAGAAAGCAGTGAAAGGCAAAGTCATTTGTTGTGTATAGAAACAACACAAACAAGTCACAACCATTCTTCACATCAGAAAGCAACCATTCTCCACACACAGCATGGACAATTTCTATAACATGCATATACCAAATGTCACGTGTTTTTTGTTTATCTTTTTTTTAAAAAAAAACAGAGTTTATCAGGCATATAAATAAAGCATTTTAAGGTAGAGAAAAATTTTGATAAAATAAGAATTTATCAAGCATAGGAATATCATGTGTTTTAATGTAAAAAAAACTTACACTTTGCCCATATGGCTGTTGCCCACCATATGACTGCTGCCCATATGGATTACCACCCCCCGATGAATACATATCTCCACTTGTTTAAAAATGTGATCTCCTGCTAAAAATTTGCAAAGGAAATGAGTGAAGCAACATACTTGCAGGCAATGCATATTTGCCGGCACAAATACATGATAACTAAAATAAGAGAGAGCAGTGACCGTAGGCATTCCCAGACTCGGGCTCTTACTTGCTAGGTCCCGAGCCTGAGTCAGAGGCTGACTCAACCAAGCCATTGATCAAACTTAGCTGAGTCTCTGTAAAAAATACAATAAAAATTCATGGCTCGCCGTAATCTTATGGTTATTCATCCAGACCAGACACCCTGCCAGGTCTGAATGACTCAGGCTTGTCTGAGCCCAGGTCACAAATTTCTAAACTCTGAGAGAAAGTACACAAGGTGGGACATCCACCATCCATTCTCAATATAGATGGTGCAGATGAGCCTTAAATCTGGGTGAATCTGGGTTATTGTGCGCTCAATGCTTCAGAAGACCGTTTCAACTTCCTTTGCTTATAGAAAATTAATGCAAATGAACTTTAATATGAAATTTGATAATCAAAAGGAATGTAGAATTTGTTTTTCAAAACATGCTGAAATGAGTGGGAGAAAGTGCACTAAATCTTAAATGGATGCACATAGATAGAGAGAGGGGCACAAATACTGGACTACTTCACTGACATATTCACAAACTAAGCCAATTTACTAAAATGTCCCAAGTGTCATATTGCATTTACCTAGTTCAGCTCTCCACGATCTCTTCTTTTCTTTGTCTTTTTTTTTTGCTTCTTTTTGTTTTTTGCACAAGGATAGTAATTTGAAATTAGAACTTAATAATCCTTGTAAATATTTACTATGGAGGCAAATGTGTTTGCAAGACTAGGAAGAACTTGACCAATATTGTTGTCGCTATGAACAAGGCAGAACTATGTGTTCCTCGTCCTCAGCTCTCCATGACCTCTATCAAACTATACTAAGTGTTACATTAATAAATTGATAACGATGCAACAAACCAAGCATGCATAAGAACGAAAAGATCTCTACAGAAAAATGTTAAGAGTGCTCCAGCTCTAATCTGTCCTTTTACTGAACTATGCTAAAAAAAATTTCCTGACGAAAAAGCAATACATGCACATCATCATGAGCCGGTAAAAACTAAAAAAGTTGCCCTCTTACGCGAAACTTTCTCGATTCAAAGACAGATTTAGAGCCATCATTTTTTAAAATAGTCCTTTCTTGATAAAAAGATAATGGGCTTGTGAAAATCCCCAATGACCTATTGGAGCATTGCAAATATAGCTCATAATGAATCAGCACAATCGGTTATCACATGAAACTAAAATGTGTGAATAAAATAGGAGACTTTACAATGATAACTGCGGACGAATCCCATATCACAAACACTACAATCTGTATAAATAAAAAATTGCGCCCTAAACACTAACTTTGAAAAAATAAAAATAAAAACAAAAATAGTAAAGATCAGTGAATTGCGTAGTGCATCTGCTATCGCTTCGGAGAAGAAAATAAATGATGCTTGATGATATATATATATATATATATATATATATATATATAAAGGATCCAGAAACTTATCAAAATAAACTACGGTACTATGGACTAGGTTTCGATACGACCTAGAGCACAGATCAAAAGCTGGAATCGAACACAAAGTTTGGTACATAAATAGAGCAAAATATCCGCGATAAAAAGAAATAGCAGAGAATGAGAATCATCAGACGATAAACACTGAAACGAGGTAAGAAATCAGGAAGATGAATACCTGTTGTTAAATCTCAATTTATTTCTTGTTTTTTCGTATGAAAGTCGCAGAAAAGTGAGAAGCCCGAGTTTTGTTTGCAGAGGAAAGGCAGTCGAGAGTCACACGCCAAAACCCTATCGTAAGTTAGTTACTTAGCTGTTCTTTCCCTTTTATAGTTACGTGAGGTAAAATACCAGTGGGACTTTATACGAATAAGTCCTTTCTCTAAGATACAATGAGGTAACAATTACGTACGACCATCCGATTAAACTCAAATTGCTTTGATGTGTCCCAAAATTTGAAAAAAAAAAAAATTAAGTTTGAATTTAGATATGTAGTCATCTAATTTCATATCAAATGATCAAGATCAATTGTGATCACCTTATACCAAAAATAAAAGATAAGTTTATACTGAGCCGAAGTTCTAGACAATTAAATTAGAGCCCAAATCAAAAATTTTACTAAAAGAGTTGTTTTGATGCCTAAATATCCTCAAATTGATTATCTGAACATCAATATGCATAGACATGAGAAAAAAATAGATTTCAAGTTTTGAAAATAATATATTTTGTAATGTATTTGTTTATCATCAATTTCAAGATTTTCAAGTTTTCATAGATCTGTCCATTTACATTATTTTTATATCTTTAAACTTTATAAATAAAACAAAGTTTTCCAATATTGAAACCACATTTCTAAACACTATTTGAAGATAGACTCTAATTTAATTGTTTAGAGCCTATGCTCTATACAAGCTGCACCCTAAAAATAAAGGGAAACATGGATTAAAGGGGTTAAAAATTGGGATTGTATCCAGTGAGACCATTTATGTAAAAAGATGTCACAATTACTTACATATTACAACCAATATAACAAAATAATATTAAATTATATAATATACCATATTATTTCAATAAAACAAATAGTACATCTTATTCGAGCCTGGTTGGGTTGGGTCAACCTAGACTCAGACTCGACCCCATTAGGTGCATAAATAGAACTTGGATCCAAACTCAAGTCAGGTCGACCTGTCGGGTTGGTGGGTCAACCCAACCCGTTACTAGGTGAAACTTGGGGTAAAATCTTTATGTGACGCAATGGTAAATGCGGTTAGGTTGAGTTTCAATATGTAAAATATTTTTATGGCAAGCTTTTTATGTTTTCCCTACAACATAAAACTTATATGCTTCCCCTTATCCAATCGTCCATGATGAATGGAGGGCTGCCCCAATAACAATGTCACGTCTCTACAGTATTTTATTTTTAACTATTTTTATATAAAATAGTTTGACACCAAATTTTGGACGTCCAATCCTCTGTTAAACTCATACTTGCAAAAAATATAAAAACAATATTCTCAATAAAATAAAATGATAAAAAATACCCTTGAAAAAATTAAAGGGTATTTTGGTCATTATATTTTAGTGAATTTTTTAAAAAAAAATTTACAGTTGCGCCCCAATGAGAAGATGGAACGTACCAAATTTTATATTTATATAATTTATATTAAAAAAATAAAAATAAAATACTTTGAGGTGTCAGATATAGAATCAAACGGTGAGTGGGTCACTTGATCAAAATTGGATGGATGGATGGTAGGGGAAGCATAGATCTTCTATGTTGTAGGAAGAAGTATAGAAACCTTCCTCGTATTTTTAAGGATAGAAAATCAATAAAAATAATCAAATTAATATATAAATAAAAATTTAACAATTTTTCATCTAGGAAGTTGATATAAGATGTTAAATTGTTAAAATGTGAGATGTACTTTGATAAAATCCCCACAAAAATTATCGACGGTGCCAAATCATTGTACTTACATTCGGAATCTTGTTTTTGGGTGTTTAGTTTCACTATGGAGCTTCTTAAGAAATAAAGTTACAAATATTATTAAATTACCCTTGATCCTAAGTAAGGGTCAGTCCTAGTTAAATAGTTTGAATTAAATGGTAAAGATGCCCCATATTATTGGTTGGCAATATAAAACTGACAAATAATAAGAGTTCTATAATTTGTTTAAGATTAGCAATGTGACGCTCTTTTTTTATTCTTGTGAATTCTCGGTACATGTTAATTCCAAACTATTCCAAGTATGGGAGTATTTTCATGCTTTGTCGGATGGCTCAAATGCGCCTCGACTGCTAGAATGGCCTTGATTTTCCAGGGTCCCAATCTTGAATATGGGGAGCTTTTTATCATTTTTTATTATATTTATAATTTAAATTTAGTGAAACTCAAACGCAATGCTTAAATTATATGATTTGAACACTTCTAATAATTTACAAAGTAATTTGACCATTCAATTAATATTTCTTTTGGTGCTTAGTTGCATTTATAGTTTATTTTATTTTATTTTATTCTAAATTTTCAATGTATTTAGATTGCATTTTGGATATTTCTCATTTTTTAAAGATTTTTATTTTTTTAAGTTGGATTTGTGGTTGCATTACTTTATTGCCTTTGATTAATGAATATCATTTACACTATATTCAATTTAAAATTTGTAAATTCTATCTTTACTTCAAAGCAAAGCAGTTTAAATAACTTTTATTTTCAATTATGAAATTTAAGTACATTTTAAATTTATGACTCATTTTTGTTATTGAAAATTTTAAAACATAATTAACTAGCATTGTTTTCTCAAAAAAAATGAAAAAAGTTGTAACTAATATCTAAATTTCTCATGGAAATTTGTTCTCCGCGAGTGGTTATTTACATTTCTACGTGCAGCCCATACATAGGAAATGGTAACGAGGTTGTCCTGGAAACATGCCAATATTTTGATAATATAAATGATTGTTGTCATCATTTGGTTAAATATGTGATAAACAATAATTTTGTTTAGAAGTTTGTTAAAAGTGAAAAAGGGACGGGTTTGGACAAAGTGTAAGGCATATGGGTGTACATGGCAAGTGCGGTGCTTAAGAGTTAGTAGCACGGTATACGTCAAAGTGAATTTCGTGGTAAAGGAGCACATCTGCAGGGGAACAATGGGGAGGATTCACTAGCCATTGGCAGGAAATATTAGAGATCGTGTACATGACCAATCCAATATTACACCAAATGACATTATTAACGATGTATATTGTGATCACGACATCATGCTTTAGGCCCATTGCCTCGCAACTCTCAAAGAATTACAGATATATTGTGAGCATTATTGACTGAGATGAGTATGAGAAAATAGTGACACTTGTGAGGAATATTAAGTACGCCCGGGTGTGTCTTACAACTTGTGTTGCGGTTGCATTATTGGTATTTGTCTAAATTTGTTCTTCAGCCAGGTGTACTTGGTAGAAGTCATATTATCTTCATTATGTATCACTCCTAGTTGGATTTTTCTTATTCGCCATAATTAGGGATGGGTCGGCATGTAATGAGCTCGCCAATCCACAGCCAAATGTAATATCTCATACACATCAAACAGAGTCAGGATCATTTCACCTATGTCTACATTGAAATGCAGTGATTTGTTTTTCATCTAAACCTCGTGCAGATTGACATAAGAGGACCCAATACGCACATGCAAAAAATATATTTTTGTGGGTCAATCAGTGGCCAATCGTTCAGCTGATGACATTTCTCATCAATTTTTATATCTTTCTTCTCCTGAAGTAGAACAATAAGAGAAGATGTTGAACACACCACGTAAATATTGTTTATTGCTAGAGGGAAATTGATACAACCATGCCTCTTCGTGATTGGACTAAAGAAAGGTCGCAGAACCCAAGAGGGAAAGAAATGGCAATGACATAATAAGGATAAATTATTAAGGTTATTTATTAGGATTATTTTAATTATTTTTTTGTTGAGGGAGTACGCAGGGATAATTAGTAGTGCGACTTTAGAGTTTATATTGTATTTATCTTATATCGATTGTGTTAGTTCGAGGGATATAATTAGAATAAGGGTAAATTTAGAATAGAGTTTATCTTTATCAACAATAACCAACTCGGGAGGTCTTTTTTGGGTAAAACATGAGAGGGAAAACGTGGCTATCTAGAAGCCTGTGGATATGAGAGGGAGAAAATAGGGATAGGTGTAGAGATAAGCTTTTTATTAGTTATCTTATTTTAGTCTATTTAAATGGACATCTTTTTTTATTGTAAATCAGTCTATGAATTGCATAAAAATTGGTCACTTGAAATAGATTGTTATGGGGGTGGATTCCCTTGCAGACGTTTGAGAGATGATATTTTTCTCTTAACCTTCATTCTTTTTGTTGTCAATTTTATGGTTTTATTCACTCCCTGCATCAATTGGTATCAGAGCAAGGTTCCGATGGCATTACAAGAGACATCATTCGATGGATTAAAGGTATTAACTGGATTAGTTCAAGCCCTAGCAGAGAGAGTAGACCAATTCATGCCTGTAGCTGTGAAAGTCGATGAGCTTGCACAAAGGTTCACTCAGCTTCAGGATGGAAGGAATCCGAAGATCGGCATTGGAACTCAAGACAACAAAGATGAAAGAGGTATGCATCTTGTTTATAATCAACCTCGGGTGGCCCCGACTAATAACGAATTCAATGAACGAATTATTCGATTGTTGGAAAGAGAAAGAGAACTTGGAATAAAAATTGATATTCCAGAATTCCACGGTCGATTGCTTGCAGATGATTTTCTTGATTGGTTAAGTAAAGTAAAGAAAATGTTTGAGTACAAAGATATTACAGATCACAAAAAAGTAAAATTAGTAGCCACAAAATTTTCTGGCCATGCATTGGTTTGGTGGGATGATTTGCAACAGGATCGTCTTCGACAAGGCCATGAAAATATTAATTCGCGGGAAAAGATGAAGACGAAGATGCGTCAAAAATTTTTACCAGTAAATTAAGCCCGAACTTTGTACCAAAAGTGTCAAAACCTCAAGCAAGGTGAAAAGTCAATAAGTGATTATACTGAAGAGTTATATATTTTGTCATCTAGGGAAAATTTACAAGAGTTTGAAGATAAAAAAATAAGTCGTTACTTGAATGGGCTAAATCAATACATTCATAATGAATTGGCCTTCAAAGATGTCTATAAGATGTCTGAAGCTTATATTTTGGCCCTCAAAGCAGAGGACATATTCAATATGGGCATTGGAGAAATATTTGAGTGACAAAAGGCTTTATTTCAATATAGGAGCAACAAGCTTTAACCTTTAGA